TAAACCCTAAACCCTAAAATTAATTTCCGAGGATATTACCACCGCGTCTTTGCATTCCATTTGGCACAAAGTCTACTCTCATCCCCCAGTCTCCAGCGAATTAACCTGGATTAGATGATATGATAGGATTGGGTAGGTGCCTGCCCCTTCTTCACAATGCATTTCCCAAATATGAATCATTCGATCCAAGCTGATTAAAAGTGTGGTTGCTCCTCAGCACTCCCGGCATCCCCAAGATTGCTTTGAAAGATCCTACTAAGGCAATTGCCATGCTCCTCACAAACGACAGGCCAAAGTAAAGCTGGTGCATCCTAGACGCTACATTCAAAGATGTCCTCAAGGGAGGTTAGTCGATCATCCCTCGCAACGTCAGCCCCAGCCTACATGACCAACAAGGCAAATGCAATCCCAAGATGCAAAGTCGGAGCCCCTAAGATTCTCGACTGAAACGCCAGCCAATACGAACCCAAGCCTTTCCAAAATCAAGAAAAGGTATGCCCCAATGCAAGCGCGGACAAGTCCAAGCGGGATCGTGATGAAACAACGGCTTAGACGTTTCGAAGTCACTTAGCCCGATTGCCTATTGGCTATAACATCGCCAATCTGATACTTGAAAATCTGCTAAGAGAATGATGACTCGTAGTTTTTCGTAGAAGGATGTGGCCACGATCTGCACACAATTTCGCGGCTTGACGGATCCCTGTGAATATCACTCCGAAATGCATGGGGGCTTCCTATGACTCTTAGACAGGAAAATGACTCGTGATTGCTTCAGATTTTCAACTGCTTGGAAGTGACCTGAGATGAAGGCTACCGTACGAAAACCATCTCCTCAAAATCCCTCAAGAACCTTCACAGGCTTACTCATAGCATCCCATAATCCGAGATCAGGGCTTGGTAGAAGCTGGGGGCTGTGCAACGCAACACGGCAATCTCATCTTCAGTTTTCACGCGCAGTGCAAAATAGGTTGGGATGGATTCGCACAACCTAACGAGCGGATTTAGGAGACTCGGATTGCAGTAGAAGTAAGCACTAGTCACTAGTATGTAAGCACTCTACATTCTCAACAAGCAGGAACTGCAAAAAGATCAGAAAACTCAGAGCTTGAGACTCCAAGAGCTGGCCCACAAACATCCTTTGGATATGTGGAGCGAAGGATTCTGCGACAGTACAAAGCGCTATGCCTACGCCCTGGTGGCGAATGGAAACTTGAGGGATGAGTGCCAGGCTTCCGGGTTGAAGTCAAATGTTGGGGTCGATGGTTTAGTAGTATACAGAGCTAGCAATTGTAGTTCCTGCTTTTCCAACGCTTGTCGCCCTTCTGACTTTGCCCTTCTGTATCTGCTTGCTCCATATCATACATATATATATATATATATGTATATCGCTTTCTCAGTGCGGGTCCTCGGGATGGTCAGAAAGCAGATTGGCAGAGGGCCTAGCTGCCCGTCCCCAGCACACATCTAGCCCCATCGTTGCACGGACGTATGCCGCGTGCGAATGGGTATTTTGTAAGGGCCCCGGTTGTGCAGACCGTACGGTCAAGAAATCTGGGGAGTCCCAACCCCTAAGCTTTGAGCCAGCAAGCTTGGAGAAATAAATTCAGGGACCTTACCCTCAGGCGAAACGCTGAACGTCAGTCACCTTGGCCGTAGCCAAGAGCGTGATCTGATCGTCAATCCTAAGCTCAAGCTCAACAAACACATGCGCTTGATATTCGCAAACATAGAATCAAGCCGTGAAAGAAGCATGCACAGATTCTGTAACAGGCCATTGGTCTTGCTGACCCCAATGCCCCCAAGCGTTTTCTACGTTGTCCTTTGCACCATATCACTTTCCACGCTGGACTCCGGATTCCGATGTTCTGCTGCTTGTTTTGCCAGATAGCCACCCAGAGCCACAATAGCCCACGCTCCAGTTTCTGTCTACCAACGAGTAGATTTATGTGGACAATGCCTTGGCCTCGTCCTAGGACCTGGGCCCAGCTTCCTTGCCCCACCCAGAGTTGAAAGATATGCTTTGCTTGTCCTGCGGCTGCGCCGAAGATGGCTTCGTGGGTGCTTGCTTTGAAGTCTTGCCTTGAGGTTGCGCCGCGTAGCTTGTTGAGCTGTCCCCATCGGGATGCTACACAAACCCTTATACTTGTAATTACCGCTTATGCCTTGAACTCCTGCTGCAAAAAGAACGTGGGGATAGTCGGAGTCTCATGTCTTCGTATGCAGCCACGCGGCATTCTCCTTGCTGGCCTGTTCTGAGATGGCCGGCTCGGCCGCCTTGCGATGATCTCCGCAGTCTCGAGAGCACCTGGCTGTTTGGCTTGGATGTGTGATTGGGAAGGGGTGGAATGTTGAAGCATCCAGCTTTGGTGTTGCAGACCTTCGTTGTCAAACACGTTTTTGTTTGACGGCCATGCCAACTCCAGGATGTATTTTCCAAGCTGTGCTGAGAGTGCAATCAGTGCAATCTTCTTGCTGGGCAGTTCTGCTGACACAGAATAACCCTGTGTGCAATGCCATGTTGAGGATTTGAGGCTGGGTGGAATCAGAAGCTCAGAGCACCCATCATGGCTTTGATCTGCTCCTCCAGCCGCCGAACATTTTTCTCCTGAACATGCATATCATACGCAGATGTCAAGAGGAATTGCTCAGAATATCAGCAAACAGCGGACCCACACCAATCTCCCTGTCCCCCAGCCCCAGACACGGCAGCAATGCCAAGCGTCCATCATAATCTGATCAATGGCTCGCGCTGGTCCCTTACACCTCAGGATGCCGTCGATGAAGTCCTAGGATTTGCAGCTTGGCGCTGGGATTCCTTTGCTCTTCTGCTACGAGTAGGGTCCAGGTTGGGAAAACGGTTTTGGTTGGGCTCGATTTGGCTGGGAACCTGCAGCACACATATTTTGCAGTCTGCAAGGTTCAGCTGCCTAGCGTTGCCCGGGGGTCTGGATCCACAGCAAAAACAGCCGCGCAAAGTAAACAGTTGATGTGGGCAAGCAAAGTGCTTAGGGTTAAGGTCGTGGTGCTTTGCCAACTGCAATTTTGCAGGTGCCAAACTAGAATGTCTGTTCTGCCTCTGTTCCAGTTTAAAGAAGTAAAGGCCCGAGAAACTGCCCCGGATCCCATGAAGTTTATGTGCCTAACACCTGCCCATCCAAGGCTCTTGTTGGTGGAAGGAGGAGTAACACAAACAAGTTCAGCGCAGGACGAAGAGAAAACATCTCTAAACCTCAAGCTCTATACCCCAAACCCCAGAACGGCGCGGCCAGCAGAGGCCAGCACTGAGACACAGGAGAAAGATGCGCACGGTACGGCTGAAAGCCCAAACTCTTCAGACGCCGCTGACTAGAATCTGCAAAACGGCCAAACAAGCTCCCTGCTCCCCAGACTGCAAGCCTCTATCCTGAAAGCAAAAATTTCAAATCATCGGGCTTTGTGCAGGAGCCTTTTAACAGGCCTAGAATCTGCACAAGTAATCTGCCCATCGCTGTTGGCCAGCAAATGGAAAAGTGCAGAAGATTGCATCACATCAATCTCAAGCGTTTCCTTGGCATTAGAGTGGTTGGTTGCTGATATCAGATCGATGGGTAAAAGTTGTCATGCTCTTATGGCTCAACATTCGGGAGTTGGGTGTTTACCGGCTTCAAGCCTGACAGCGAAGCAGAACAAATACCAACTCGTTATCTCAGGCAGACTGATCCTGGACTGATAGATCAGCCCCGGAAACAAAGGTGGTTTCAGGCTTACGGCCCACCACCTCTTGAATAGTTGAAGCCAGAGTAACCAAATACGTGGTCACCCGCGAATCCATGAAGAGCTCATTCAGCTCATCCTCATCAATCAAGCCATCCTGGCTTTCCTCGTGGCTTTTTTGAGGGGTCACTGTAGACCCAAACAAGATTTTTGATTGCCCTGGTTTTGCCAACATCTTCATGTTTCAGATCTGAGTAGAAGCACCAAAGGTGTGAAGAAATATCAACTCCAACTGCCGGCAGCTGGCGTCAATCGCGTTGAAGATGGCCTCAAGCTTGTGAATATAAGTTGCCTTTCTCCGCAGACCTCGAAAGGAAGCATGTCAAAAGAAACATGGGGGCACTATCTCTTCACCACGGGGCCCCGTGCCATCAAGGTCTTTTAATGAAATTCGGTAGCCACCAAAGCATTCCGGGCTCATCTGCCAAACAACGCAAGGAAGGTGTTTCTTAGTTCGTAGTGATGTGAGATGAAGAGATCTCTCAAATATGGGAACCGGTAGGGAGCCCAAAAGGGGAAATGTGATCCGAAAAGGATGTTGGGATTGAGCTTTTGGAGCCTGGCCTTCCTGGACCATGAGCTCTGCGTCGTTATTGGCAGCCTCTAATGTCTCGCGCAAGAAGATCGCCGTAATTACTCGGATCACCTCTGCTGCCAGTAAAAGCTGCTTCCACAGGCCTTTGAAGGGCCGACAATTCCCCCTAGCGTGGCCCGCAAGCCAGGGTGCTAGGTTAAAAGTCTCTGAAATTTGAGGTGATTCGTTTGTAATTGAAGCTAGTAGCTTAGAAATCCAAGTTCAGAATCATCTTTGCAAGAGTCGAGATGGGCCGTTTACCGTACTCCGTTCTGCAGAAAACAGACAGCGTGCAAACAAAGCGAGAAAATGCTCAGCCAGAGCCCAGTGGCGGCAAAAACTACGAAAGTTATGTAAATAACGTAGAAAACAACGTAGAAGTGGCTGACGTTCTCCAGCACAGGTCTGGCGTAAATGCCCCAATTTCCTGCGAAGGTTATCTCCTTGGAACTCAAGGTCAAAGCTTTGGGCTGGACTGCACGTTTTTGCGCGTTGTAAGCCTGCACTGCACCCGACATGACGTATTGGGAAGGGATCAAACACAGCCATTCGTTGCATCGGGCACAGACAACTAGGGGCAAGCAAGAAGAGTATTGACTTCTCCCATCAAGGGAAGTGTTGAGGAGCAGAATCTTAAAATTCAACGCCTTATTCGAAGACTTTCCGTCCGTCTCAGCAAAGCGGAAGCTCTCTCTTTTGCTGACCGGGAGTCATACATGGTGTAGATAGCCCGGAAGGATGTTCCATAATGCCGCCAAATCCATTCACGCGCATCCGGATCCTGCACAATTTCTGCAGCTGGATTACCATCTGCGCTTTGTTAAGCTTCCAACTTCAAACGTTGATATTCCAGCATCTGGTGTTCTGTAGCGCTCCAAGGCGTGCACTTCGTCTCCATTGGAAAAACTTTGACCAAAGGCGGCAGCTGGGAAGAGTCCTTTGACTCATCGATGATATAATCTTGGAGCAAGTTTCCAATTAGCAAACCTCGGCTCATTCAAGAGCAGCTGTATCATCAGCACCTTACTTGCAGGACGGGTACTAGTATGACGTAAAGACGGTCCGCACTTTGCGGATTCAAACTTCTCGGGTACCCGAGATTATTCTATTGTTGCAGCCGCTGGACTCAATGGAAGCTGCAGATCGGGTAGCTGTTCCTTCCACTGCCACCTAACCATCTTGAGTGAACGTCCTGAACCCTTACACCTCCTCCTGTATCCGAACTGGGACACAAATCGAAAGTAATTGGCAAGCAGAGCCACCTGAAGAGATCATACACAAGCCAAGCAGTGCCTGGGCTGCGCATCACTGGCAACAGACGACTCGGACTTTCTTGAGCTCTGTTTCGAAATTTGATCTTCACCGTTGGGGAGCGAGAGTTGGAGCTTGCACAAAGGGCTTCACAGAAAATCCGAGCGTGGGAGCCTGATGAGCAAGGTCTCCAGAGGTGGGACTTCCACTGTCTCATGGCTAGCGGACACTCGAACTTAATGCCCTCAATTCCAAGAAGACCCGATAGGAGCCACATAAAACCCCGGTAGCCAGCTCAAGCTGAAAAAGTCCCGCTGTGTGAGAATCATCCTGTTGACACCGGCGTAGATTGGGGTCAGGAATGATAAGGGTGGGTCATTCGGTAAGAGGTACTGCCTAGGGTTACAGAATAAGGGGTGAGGGTAAAAGATGAAGCAAAAGGCAACTGCGAGGATCACGACCACAACCCACCCTGAGCCTTCTGGAGTTTCCTGGCGCCAGGGAGACCCCAACTCGCCTGGACCCGTGCACTTGTTGGCATTGTGGACTCGAGCCAAGGATCGGAGACTGGAAACATGACAAGGGTTGAGGACAACGACTACTATGCGCCCGATCCTTGCACTCCTAACAAGCAAGGCGGCGCGGAACATGGCATATCCCACAGACCGGAACCGCGATACCTTGCAACACCCTTTTTTAGTGAAAGGGGGCCGGCGGAGGTGGAGGGGGTCGATAAGACTTGGTCTAGACCCATATCCGCGATATTGCATGTTCCGGGGTGTGATACAACCAAAAGGGGATAGGACAGGTGCTGATCTACATCAGGAGCTCGCGAGTTTTATCAGGTCCTGAAATAAGATGATATAACCCAGCTGCCATCGACCAGCTCAAAGAGGGCAAGAACGAACTGCACGCCTTGACCAGCACACGCAGGCCTTCCAGCAGGGTCAAGAGCTATCAACTACATTGGATTCTTTTGCTGCTGCAGGGAACCGATGCAGCAAACTCGCAATGCTCCGAATGAACCCTTACATTCTCGAAAGCCAATGGCAAACCGGACGGAAGATTGCAAGGGGCAGGCGGCAAGCTGTCACTATTCCCCAGACGGTACGCAAAATGTTCGGTCCGAACGGGCACCCTCCATTGTAGAAGATTTAATGGACGCCTTCTTGTCTTAAAGTTGCTCCCAATAATCCAGTAGTGCTAAATAATGCTAGAATAATGCTAAGTAGTGTTGAAATAATTAATCCTAAATTAATCCTAAATAGTGCCTAAACAATGCTACCGAAATCGAGAAGGCGAGAGTGTCTCGACGGTGCATGGAAAGGATTGGCATCTAAAAACATCAACGAACAAAATCGCGGAAGCTTAAAACAAAGGATTCACGCACGGTTCTTTTGCTGCTTTGCTCTTTGGCAAAAAGCTATACATTACACTCCCACAGAACATTCGCTAACTTCTGCAGAAGAAAAAAGCATGCTTGGTAGAAGTGGAACAGACACCTTGTGAAATAGTCCAACAAGTTTGAATGCCAGTGTTTTTTCCCAAGCACGTTGCCAAAACAGCAAACGAAATTCGATGCCCCTGCCAAGTTCGCGTAACTTGCTTTGGGATTCCTCCCCGCGACACTGCAGGCATTCCTTCGGAAGGCCTTTGTACAGCCCTGATAGTCGAAATTGCAATTGGACGCCATTACATTGATCAGACCCAAGAACCGCAAAAAATATTCTTCCGATGCCTCTGCCAAACCCTAAGAGGAGGTGAGGTTGGGCTACACTGTTGCAGTGCCCTTCGCAAGTCGCCTCGGAAGAGATGGAGTGCGCGTGCAATTCGAAGAACCCGCGCCAGCTTGACCACTCGGAAGACACGTAGTGTGGTTGCATTGTGCGCAGGCGTGTCCTTGTCCAGAGTCACATGGCCGGGGAGTCGGGTCTCTTGTTGCTTTCTGCGTTCGCCGCTTTCCTTGTTTTTCTGTTTCTTTAGTTTGTTCAACTCGTTTTTTGTTTCTTTCTTCTTCTTCTTCTACATGCCATGCGCGTCCTGGTCGGGCCAGGGGCTCGTCGGGGCTGCGCCCCATGGCTTTCCTGAAAACTTTACAACTTCATGGAATGACAATGGCACCGCTGGCAAGATCTGCATACTTTCCGCCCACTCCCACTAGTCTTCTGCCCCCCTCTTCGTCCGGCCCCCCGCCCCCGCAGCATCTTTCTGTGGGTACACTCATCAATGACTGCATGGATCAGGAGAGAACTTGCGGCACCGAGGAAGGCCTGGCCCGTCTGACTATCCAACAACAAGCACCTATTCCCGGGCCCACACATCTCAATGTTCCGGCATGCATTAGACAAGAGATCCCTCTGTAAGGGATACCATCTGGCTGCTTTGAGGACGGGGGCTTTGTTCCCATAGCGTAAAACACATCCCCTACTGCTGTTCCTAATTCATGAGCTGTGCCGGCTATGCCATATCTGTTGCTTCGAATTTTCCGCTCTTGGCTTCCGGGTTGTGCTGCTACGTTCCAAACAACAATTAGAGGTCCTCCCAAGAAAACCGTGTTTAGCGGTTCCCCATTCTAGTTTCCCAGCAAAATGCATGGCTCGGTATGTCTGGTTGGATATCAAAACTTCCGGGACTCCTCTTTAAGCTTAGACTCAGGTCCACAAAATCCCGGACTTACCCTTACACGTCACTGAGTGAATTGTTCTGTACATCCGCCGTGTTTCTTCTCACATTTGTTTGTATCCTTTCTGATTCTGGGCTGCATCACCGCAACCACTGCACTGTTAATTAAGTACGCTGATCTCTCTCGCTGCTGCTCAAACTCCGGCTGTTTGCAGTGTACTTGCAAGAAGTCATATGCCATGGCGAGGGCTGTCCCTTCCGGCATTCTCCGATCTTCGTACAACAGCCGGAGGGCGAGATCTTTGTCATCTTGTTCTGTTACCGAGACTCCCTTCCGCCACTGGCAGCTCATGTACAAATCCCAATGCCTAACTTGGTCGATCTGTAGGGCTTTGTCTGGTCCTCTTTTTCTCATGGACTTCCAGCTTCATCATCGGCTTTTCCGCATATCCCTGTGTTACTGCCCAAGAGGTTGTCCAGTGGGATCCGCAGATCCTGCTATCATGTCCTCGCCTCACGGTCTGTGCTTCTTGCTGGCCCACGGTGGCTCTGCAGGACGAGCGTTCATGTGCCAATTGCAACAGTTATCTTGTCCCTGCATGAGGGCTTGTACACCAGTATGGTTTGCCAGCCACTCTTCGTCATCTGAATCTTTCTTCCCCTTCGGCACTTCGTGGCGAGTTGGCTTCCTTCGCTACTTGCTGGGCTGTCTGCTTATACTTCAGTCGGCGTCGGCTCCTCCTTTTCTGGTCGGCCTCCTTCTCCGCCATCTGGATTTCCTGTTGATCTGTCCGGACCACGGCTTGGGTCCACCCACCCTCCAGGTGAGGGGCTCTCCTTGTGGATGGCCTTTGGTTCGCTGGGCTGCCATCTTCGCCTCAGCTTGCTTTGCCTCCTGCCACCTCGAAATTTCATCTACCATACACAGGCTCTCCTTGTCTGCTGCCTTCGTAGACTGCTGGCCCGCCACTTTTTCTGTAGTCGTAGGGGCCGCTTTTCTCCCTTTTGTACTTGTATTCCCTGTCGATGCCTGGGCTGCCATCTTTTTCTGCCCCCTTTCCTGACTGCCTTTTCGTTGTCGGTTGTCATGCTGGGGCTTGAAGTGGCAGTTGAAGGTGCGTGCTTTCTTTTCCCAGTCCTACTAGGTGCCGCTGCTAGCTTCCCTCCTGAACTCACTGCTTGACTGTTAAACCTGGCCTTAAGTTTCTCTCGCTGCGTCTGAAAAACCCCGCTTCCCGACGGCTGTGTAGCTTCTTTTCCAGTGCGTTGGTGGAGGATCTGTATCAGTCTTTGGTGCCCAAGCGTCCCCGCCGGCGCGGCGGCTAACATCTCTGTCACCAACGCTCCTTCCACGAATTTCCAACACCCCCGCCTGCAGGTGTGAGCGACTTTCGCTCATGCCAAACAGGCTTCCCAGTCTTCAGCGTTGTTCGTGTCTGGGGCTCTCCATCGGGCTTTGTTTTCATCGTTAATACTACAGTCACCGCATTGGTTACACTCTTTTTTTGGTGGTTGTTGTACTCCCCAATCGCTTGGCACTCATAGGCTCCTCCTCTGCCAGAGTTCGTCCCCTTTTCAGGTTATCATGGTCGGCCATGCAGCTTAATTTTCTCCCAAATGTTGTCCGACAAACAACCCCACTTGAGCCAAAATGGCTACGATCTCTGTCTGTCTTTCTTCTTTGTAGCATGTCATGCGGGCTTCTCTCTCGCTTTTGGCTTTGGAATAGGGAAGTTGCGCTTACACGCGGGCCTTGTGGCCTCCCCTGAGCAGCTTGGTTCTGTACGTTAATGTGGGTTCTTTCAGTGAGAGAGTCCCAACGACGATATAGAGGTGACAAATAAGGGGAAAGCGTTTCATTGGCTCCATCTCACTTCAAGCTTCCCTGGTGAATTGTGTTGGAGGGTTCCAGTTGTGGGGTGACTTAAACAAACAAACCGTCGTCTCTCTCGCTGTCTCTCTCTCTTTCTCTCCCTCCCTGCTCTCCCAATCTCAAGATTACGCTGGCTTTCTAGTTCATTGACAACCCTGCACGAAGTAACCTCTTGACACCCCACAACTTCATCTGATATTAGCTGGTGTATCAACGCTTTGCTCTTTTGCTGTTTGATGTGGATCCCTCATGTCACGATCCTCTTGGTTTCTAGGCTGGGGGCTCTCAAGTTTCACCTCGAGGAGCTTAATTCGTTGGAAGGTTTGGACACGCTCAGTCCTCTCTTGACTCCCCCTCTAATGTGGAACTCCAAGGGTCTGCTGTGACATCCTGCGTCAACGTTTCGACTTTAACGACTGATTTACTTGCCCTGAGAAAACCGAGGTTTGGCGATGTTTTGTCAGGTGCTGTGAATTCCACAAACATGTCTTTCAGTGACCTACCGGTCATGTGTGGTTGTTGGAGGTCTGGGGTAACAGGTTGCAGATCAGGGGCTCCTCTCTGCAGATCCTGAGACATGGGACCTAATGCCTAGTATCTACAGTTGCCTGCACTGCACGAAAAACAGCCAGAAGCCGCACAGGCAACAGCACTTTCTGACAACAAGCCGCCAGTGCTTTAAAGGGACTCGGCAACACTCAAGGAGCATCTTTAGAAAGCAACAAACTTTGCTAGGACCCAAAGCTACAAGCACTTGAGCCGTCATCGCCATGCATCTGCCAAGAGCGCATCCAGAACATAGAGATCGAAAAAAGCGATGAGGACGAGCGAGAAGTCCAACCAGTTCCAGGGTTCGCCTCAAGGCAGGGGCGAAGCAACTCCGTCGCAAACCCCAGCAAACTCCACACAAACACCTTACTCTTCAAATCCCTTCAAGGAAACTTGAAGCGGCACTGACATACACATCACCCCATCCAATCCAAGCCCCATCAATTTCGAAATACCCTGAGTCCCGAAAGTCCAAAATCTGAAAGACTGGCATCCCTACACGGCCGAGCTACCGAAGTAAGCGCATCGTATGCGATAGAGACGGTAGACGAGCTCCAGCGCAAAGACCATTGCGAAGAAATGTTCCTAAGCTTTCACAGTTCAACGTATTGAAGCTGGGATTCCGGCATCTTGCGTTTGAAGTAGCCTGGAGCGACAGGCATTGATTCCAAACATGTGGAACCCGTTAGGGTCTACAAAAACAAAGATGATCGGAGAAACTGGCTATTTGCTTTGGTTGAGAGCACTCTCTTGCGTCTTTATGAGGTCGAACCGGAAAGTTTAAAGCAATGATAAGCTGACACTAGAAAACACTTTCCTGCAACCCTGCGGGCACAAGCAAATTCTGGCATGTTCTGCTGTTGGGAATCTGGCAATGGATAAAGGACTATCTCGAGACCATCTTCCCAACTAAGCATGAAGAAGTACAGCAGACTCGGCTGCGCTAGCAGCAACCACTCGTCCAGCTTCAAGCAGAAGCAAGATGCCGGGTCGTAGTATCTGAATACCTACAGAATGTAAGCATGGGCGCTACTTGGTCCTCAAGTGCGAAATTGAATGCTGCGACAGCTTGATGAAACAAAACCTGTGTTGAAGGCCAATTTAACTACTGGGCTTGTTGATCAGTATTTTGGTAAGGAACCCGTGGTGTTTTCCGTTGCCTAAGGGCTTGCAAGGAATGATTGAAAGCTGTGAATGCAGCTTACATTCTTACCAAAATCCCATGTCGTCTGATCTCGACTGTTTCAGAGAAGGCACCAGGAACTCCAAGACTGGCATTGTTTCGCAGATAGCTAGGCCGCCGGTCAAGCCCAGGGTGGCTGCAGACTGTGCGCCCACGCACTCCTGGGTGCAAGCGATTTGGTTTTTTTTGTGTCCGTGGATTGAGGTACGCTGTGGAGGGTATTTCTGTGGATGATGAGCTGGTTAGGCTCTTTCACTGAAGTTTCCAGCTTAGCTGCTTCCTGCTTCTCAAGCACACGCCCCCCGCGTTTTGAAAGATCCACGCATTTCCAGATACCATAACATACATCATTGAACCTACTTGACAGTGTGCAATGCCTTTTACATCCTGCTTCTTTCAAGGGATCTCGGAACCAGAAGTCGCCTTCGCCTTCTAAACCAAAGTTGCGAGAGAAATACTCAAGAGAAGCTCACCACTACGGCTGAGTCGATTCTCAGCTGAACGTTGGATCCTACTCCGGCTGGTTTTTCCAATCCCTGGCCGTCGGATGGCTTACTCCAATACAACATGTCGGCGGCTCTGACCGTGCACCCAAACCTTGTGCTAGCTGCCGGCCCCTTGCCAAAGCAGACCAACCATCCCAGCCGGGATATCCAATACAAGCACAAAGGCCAAGTTGACTGCCATGGCAAGTGCATTTAGCAGCACCATGACGCCAATCACCTGGGCAGAGTGCTTCGGCTGGAACAAAATGCTCAAGGCCAGTCACCCGGAACGCAAACTTAGAATCCCATATGAAACCTTTGCGACTGCCCAGCCGCTGTGTCGAAGCGACCCATGATCTTGTCCTCCCCAGTAAGCCTTGCCCAAGGCAAGCCCTATGCTCATATAACTACTACTGTTAACAAGCCTGGAACGAGCTGCGGAACGATGGTGGTGGAATCAGGTTTGCTGTAGGGATTAGAGCGTAGGGCTTAGGAACCCTAATCATCATCAAAAGTCCTTGAACTGCCTTGGAGGAAGGGACCTGGAGGAGGACATTGGTCAAGGAGGGTTGGCAACAGCTTCAACATGTCTAGCTACTGTGCGACCGAACGCCTCGTCGCAGCATGTTGAAAGGGGCTTTCGATGCTATATATGCATGCGTTTGACGAGTTCATTGCGCCAGCCGAAGTTTGAGGGTCCCGGGCTAAGACATGTCTTAAAACATGTTGAAACTCCCCAGGCCTAGTTCAACGCCTAAGCAGAAAACATTCAGTCCAGATTTTAGCCAAGTTGTTTACAACCTGGAGAGCACACCAAACACACTCTAGCTCACCACAGCCTAAAGCACATGGTTAGAGCCTAATCGACATGAACAGCATCAACGCTCATGCCGCAATGCCTCAAACCCAGCACTATAAAAAAAAAAAA